TAGGGGGAACGGGGGCACCTTCAGTGGGAAAACCATGATGGAGGGGTGAGACAATGTGAGAGATAAATAATGCCTATCTCGTTTTGAAAACCAGAGAGACCCATATTACTCGTATAACCTATGGACAAATTATACATAGCAGATCAAGAAATAGATGTCTAAGTAAGGTTTATCTGAGAACAACTGGTCTTTGGGAAATGCAAATTAAAACAACTTTAAGATTTCATCTAACCCCACTCAGACTGGATAAGATCAAGAGAACAAATGATACCAAATATTGGAGAGCATGTGGGGAAAGGGGAACACTCAACCACTGATGGTGGGGCTGCAAACTGGTTCAACCCCTATGGAAAGCAGTGTGGAGAACTCTTAAAAAAACTACAAATGAACCTACCATTTGACCCAGTTATACCACTCCTTGGTATATACCCAAAGAACTCATCCCATTGCAGAGATACTTGTACATCCATGTTTGTTGTTGCTCTTTTCACAATAGCTAAGAGATGGAAGCAACCTAAGTGTCCTTCAATTGACAAGTAGATAATGAAAATGTGGTTTATCTACAGTAAGATTTATCTACATGGCACACAGTAATTAAAAGTACTAGTTTGGTGGAACTAACCTTCGTGGGTGTTGAACAGGCATACTTTGAGGCCTATAATAATTTGGTCAGAGGGATATAAAGGACACTTTTTGCTCCTTGCCCTCCTAGGTCAACTAGTTCCAGGGGACTATGTGCATCTCTCAAAATGTCCTATAATGGTGGTGGGTTACCTATCTGCTTGATCAAGGAAGCTGAGGAGATCCTACCAGATAGACTTGAACCAGTGTCCAGTCTACAAAGAGGAGGGTCAATACAGGGAATCATTTCCTCCGTGCTTCCAAGTGAAGCCAACCATGGTCGAGCAGGACCTTTGACTTATCTTCACATAGGTGGAACTGGTAAAAGAAAGGAGCCAAGGGGGTCCTCCTAAGCCCATGTGACCCCTGCAGAACAGATCCTCAAATGGCCTTAAGAGTAAAAATAAGGGAACAGATCCTCAAATGACCTTAAGAGTAAAAGTAAATTGGTTTATCTAGACCAACTGTATGGCCTTATACACTCAAAAGGAAAATATAACCAAAGATTAAAGGGGCCAATATAATTTCTTAAGAGTCCATATTCATAGCTAAAGGCTACATAACCAGTAACCATGCCAGAAAGGCATTACCTTCTTTTGAGTTAATGGCCAGGGTGGCCAAAGGGACTCCCAGATAGTAACCCAGCATAGAACTGGGAAATTGAACAGCAGACCCCAATCTTAACTAAAGGAATATTGACAACTGATTACTGCTAGATGAGGAACAGCTGTCCCTCCTAAAAGAAGGACCTCTAGATAGGTTGACTAGGTTCACCAGAAGGGCAAGTAGTGGGGAATGGCTGGGGGTTGCCAACAACACAGCAGACACTAGCAGGGATATCGGAGCATAAGGGCTCTAGTGGGGGGGGAGAGGCTATGGGAGGGTGCCATCTGGGCAGTGGGTATATAGTTGAATAAGATGGTTTGGGATGTTCTGTGTGATATACACACACAAAAAAAAATCAACACATATTTTAAAAAATGTATTATATTTAAGGAGGAAGCATGGAAATTTACATCATGATAACTAGTAGAGGTAATAAACAATATCACCGAAATCTGCCCGATGACTTTATAGACATACACAGTCCCCAAGGTTCCAAGTACAACTGATTATGACTAGTAATAATCAGATACATAAGATTAGATATGCAAGCACCAACATCTCAGTGTTAGTAGCAAAAACAGTGAGTCTTTCTGCAAGGAACAATGTATTCTAAAATGAAATGGAGATCTTTTTTAAAGGTTTAAAACTCATAGAATTTTATGTCTTTACAGGGCTTATACTGAATTTAATAATATATAACTGTATTAATTCAATTGTAAACCTAGAAACTTGCACCCACTTTTGAAAGACATGCATCTTAGCTCTGGAAATTGTTATCGACTATGTCAATGCTGTCGTAATGAAATGCTTCTTCTAAGTATGTGATTATTAAATAAATAATTTTTAAAAAGTGAGCGAATGAACTAAACCGTTACCAATGCTCCTTAATAATTAGTAGATGTGAAAAACATTATCATTGACATCTACCTCATGACTTTATATCCATTCTCAATGCCAAGGAGCTCAGAAAGTAACAGACTGTGACTAGTAATAATCTGATATATAGAAATTAGAAATGCATGTGCAAACATCTTAATGTCAATCGCATTAAAAATGAAGTTTTCTGCATGAAACTTTGTATTTTAATAATGAAATGGAGATCCTTTTTAAAGATTAAAACCTCATTTAATTTTATGTCTTGTAGGGTTTATACTGAGTACACTATTGTATAACTGTAATAATTCAACTCTAAACCTAAAAATGTACAGCCAATTTTGTAAAAGATGCAGTCTAGCTCAGAAAATTGTTATTGAATATGTCAATGCTGATGTAATGAAATGCTTCTTCTAAAGTATGTGGTTATTAAATAAATAATTTTTAAAAAGACCAAAAAAGTTTCTGCAGAGCAAATGAAAACTATCAACAGAGTGAAGAGAAAGACTATAGAATAGGAGAAAATCTTTACCAGTGATACTTGAGACAAGGGGATTACTACTTAGAATATATAAAGAATTGCAATATTTAGACACCAAAAATCTCCTGCTAATCAAGAAATGTACTAATGACCTGAATAGCTAGCTCTCGAAGAAATACAAGTTGCTAAAAAAAAATTTGTTTAAACATATTCAACATCCTTAGTCAAGAAAATGCAAACTAATACTACCTTGAGATTCTATCTCATCAGCTGCAATGGCCATCATCAAGAAAACAAATAGAACAAATGTTAGAAAGATGTGGGAAAAAAGAAATGCTGGATCTCAGAGATTCGCCTGCCTCTGCCTCCTGAGCTCTGGGATTAAAGCAGTGCACCATCATTCCCTTCTACAGTTGTAAATTTTAAATAGTAGGTCAGAATAATAGTTATTCTTTTTTCAAGGTCTGCTGCTATTTAGCAAACATGCTACTTATGTGCTACAACTTTGTCTTTGGAAAAGGTTCCCTCCACACCTCCACATACACCTCCCTACAGCACAGACAGAAAACAAGATTAAGGTCCTTCTAAGACTGATTTCATTGAATCCAAACTCAAGAGGACTCTACCAGTTTTCCTGACCCCACTATATTGCTGTGAAGTGCCAAGGTCTTAAGACTTGGGTATGTGTATTACAATGGCAAGAGTGCCAGTGCCAACAAAAGATTTATTGGACTTGTCAGCTCCTCTGTTTCACCAAGCATAATAACCTTAACAACAAAGCAGAGTAAGCCAAGTGCCTCTGTGTGACTCCACCACCAGCTGATAATGCACAAGATAACCATGTTAGCCTACAGCCTGTCTTCCCTTGAGAAGCTGGGAACTGAAGGACCTATTCTGAGATCTGTGCTGTTAGTAAGTGACTGGTAAAATTGTAGACTAGATTGGCCCCTGAGTGCAGAGACTGAGTTGCAATTGAGTGAAAACAGACAACAAAATCTTGAAGAATTGCACTGACATGCAAACCAAATTTAACACTCTTCAAGTAATATTGGTTGAACTGAGAAAACAAAACCTGGAACAGGACGATTATTTCTTTCTATCTTTGCCATTGTTGCTTCTTTCTGTTACATTTCTTGTTCTTTTTGTTGTCTTTCTAAGTCCAGATTCTCTCCAATAATTCACATTGCCCTGATTGTGGGCAACAGTGGTTCCCCAGTTTAGAACTAGAGCATTGGTAATACCAAACTTAACTTGTTGAAAATGAATGGTACCAAGTAGTCTTAGACTGTATTAACAGAGCTGATTATTGCCCTGAATGTTATCCTGATAATCCTGCTAATAGAAGGGTTGTTCTGCCTTGGTCTTTCCCACTTGAGTGGGCACCTCAAAATCTCACCAGGTAGACCTTTAAAAAAGCTTGCGATCCATTTCTTCTAGGTCCTCTGCTGGTTAGAAAAAGGATACATGACTCCAGAATTTTAATCCTGCATTGCAATTAACCTTGTCCAGAACAGACAAAACCTTAAACAAAAAAACTTGGCCAAAGCAAGTAACTTCAATAATAGTCAAAATCATGGAGACTTTTGAGCATTTTGTGCTAATAGCCCAGGGAAAACGAATAATAATGAAAAATCACTCATTTCTGTCTGTTTTATCTTTCCCATTATTTTTCTTATTCTTTTTTATTCCTTTTTTTTTGAGGTGGGGGGGGGAAGGTGCTGGGAGAGGTGGCTCAATGGTTACAAGCACTGGCTGCTCTTGCATAGACCTGTGCTCAGTTCCCAGCACCCACATGGTGGCTCATAACCCGCAGTAACTCCAGTTCCAGCTCCTCTTCTGGCCTCTGTGGGCATTGAACACATGGTACACTTACATACAGGCAAAATACATAAAAATAAATAAAATAAAAGATTCTAGGTTATCCTGTAGGTGTGTAGCAAAGAACAATATTATCCAGGAGCCAGGGTCTTTATCCTTCCTCCCCTGGGGTCCTTATAATGTTTGCTTTTTGTCCTTGTGGATGTTTCCTCAGTGAGTACAATACAGTTTGTTGTTGTACAAGACATTTCAATTGCAAACAAAGGTTGGAAGTAGGGGAAAGAGGCTTTCTTCTTTCAAATCTTATTTGGGAGTAAAATCTTTCTGAAAAGTCTCAGCAGATTTTTTTAAACTTTTAAAGCACCTCATTAGCAGGTATTGGTGCACACACAAGAGTGAAAAAAGCTTGGCAAAGGAGAAGAGCTGGACTTGCCCTGATGGGCACATTGCTTCCACTGATAAAACTGGGATCATTTTAGGGAGGAGGAAGTGGGAATGAATGAATGGCTGTTGATAGGCAAGAAATCCTACTTTCCACATGGGAGACCTTAAGTTTTTGTTTGTATGAAGAAAGAATGTACTCTGATCCACTCATACCTACCTTATATCCATCATGGTTGGAGGGTCTCTTCTGTTACATTGCTGAATAAGCTGTGTGGACTGCTAAAAATGAAAAAGAAGAAAAAGAAAAAGAAATGCTTATTCACTTATATTACAGTGGGAAATGTGAACTGATATAGCCACTATTGAAATCTGTGTGGAACTTTCTAATAAGACAGAAGTAGAACTGCCATATGACCCAGCTATACCATACTTGCATACATACTCAAAGGACTCTGTATCCTACTAATAAGATACTTGCACATCTCTGTTTATTGCTGCACTATTCCTAATGGCTAAGAAATGGAACAAGCCTGCATGTCCACCAACAGATGAATAGAAAGTGAAAATACAGCTATATTATACAATGGAATTTTATTCAGATGTACAGAAAAATGAAACTGTGAAATTTGGGTTAATCTGAAAATTACTATATTAAACAACATAACCCAAACTGAGTAAGATGAATACCATGGATATTTTCTCATATGTGGATTCATTTAGATAGATAGATAGATGGTAGATAGGTAGGAAGATATATACATAGATAGATAGATAGATAGATAGATAGATAGACAGACAGACAGATAGATATAGATGATATATAGATAGATGATATATTAGAAGATAGATGATAGATATAGATTCATGATAGATGATATAGATATAGATATAGATAGATGATAGATAGATGATAGATAGATGACAGAGAGAGAGAGAGAGAGAGAGAGAGAGAGTCAGTTGGGGGGGTGGGGATATAGGTCATGAAACAATAAAGGGACCATGAGAAGGAAAAATGATGTTGTAAGGATAGAGAGGGAGGATGACACAATACATGTAACAGGAAAACAGAAAAGTCACACTGGACGTGGAAGGTACTTCATTTCCTTTTGGTTGATAATTAATAAAAGATCATGACCAAAAGCAACTTAGGGGAAGAAAGGCAAGAACTCAAGTAGGAACTTGAAGACAGGCCTACTTGTCATTCCATACAACATTTTCTAAGGAGAGAACTCACTCACAGTCAAAGAAGAACAGCAGACACTAGAGAAAATGCTGCTTGATGGCTTTACACGTTCAAGCTCAGCTACCTTCCTTATGTAACCCAGGACCACCTTCCCAGGGAATGGTCCATAGTGGGCTGGTCCCTCCTATATCAATTAAGAATTAAGAAAAGTCCCATCAAGACATGCTCATAGGGCATTTTGAACTAGGAAATGCCTCAACTGAGGCTCTCTTCTCAGGTGACTTCTAGGTTGTGTCAAATACACAGTTAAAGCTAATCAGAAGAGTCGGGTACAAGAGAAGGTTGGTAGGCATGAAGATGAGAAAGAAGAATTGGGGAAGGAGGATGAATCAAAACAAAAGTATTACAAAAATGCCATAATGAAACATTACTTTGCATGGTAATTAAAGATGCCAAAATCCATACCCACACGCAAATCCCCTCATAGTTTTGTAGAAATATATTAATCAAAATGCTAACAGATATTCCAGACTATGGATTATATAACAGACTATGGATTATTTATTTGTACTTAGAAGCTTACTATATTTTTACAATACTTATTTCATACACAATCAATAAAAAGTCTTTAAAATTATTCTTACTCTTAGAAAGTTCTAAATTTATATTTTATATTTTATATGTTCTTCATATGAAACATCTTTCTCACTTTTCTTCTACCAAACTGTTTTTAATTTTTTTTCTAAATTTTAATTCAAAATTATCGGTTTATACAGTTACCAAATATATCTGGACTATGATCATTTTGTTAAACTTCCTATGTTATTTTGTGTTAATTGCATTTATAAAAGAAAAAATTGTTCTTTTGTATAATTTTGAAATTAACTGTGCGTTTATATTCCTTATTGAAACCAGTTCTGAGGTAAAATACAATGAACTGAAAATTGTTTGATATATAGAAGAGATGCTGAAAATGATTTGGATTCCCTTATCTATAAGGTTGCATGAGTTTTATTTCTACCTAAGTTCAGTATGGAAAATAATCAATAAAAAGGCAATGAAGGACAAGTGAAGCAAGGGTCTCAACCTTGAGGCAGCAAGTTTAAACTGTTTATGATAGGATAAATGAAAACATAACATGTGAATACTACAGTGGGAGTGTGGCCTGAGTGAACAGGTATGCACAGAATCAACGTGAGAAATGCAGGAGGATGAACTGCGGTAGACAATGGTAATGTTTGGATGGGGAAGTTTCCACATTAGGATGACAATTATTCAGCATGTTTTAAAGTGGACCCAGAAACCAATTTCTAATCACTACTATTTTCTAAGTAAAAGGTAACTATGACCCCACCAAAAGGAGAGTAAATTACCAAGGGACCTAAGTTGCTTAGCAAATACTTCAGTGGTATTTCAGAAAGGTAAAACCACCTAAAAAAAAAAAATTAAGAAGGAAGGGTTAGATGGTTCAGTGGCTGCTTTTGCATAAGACCCAGATTCAAATCCCAGCACTCACAAGGCATTTATCAACCATTTGGAACTCCAGTTCCAGGGGATCTGATGTCCTCTTCTGTCCTCCACGGGTATTGTACAACATGAGCGCACTTAACATACATTCAGGAATAACAGTCATCCACATAAAAATAAATTAATTAATTAAAAATAATAAAATTTAGGAAGAAGGAAAAAGAGGCTAGAGATTATGATGGTGCTTTATATTACATATTATATTATACTGTATTATAGAATATTAATGCTCCTGTACTTATTGGCTTGTCATCAGGGAGATAACAGTAATTTGATATAAAAAAGAATGAAGCCTCTATGGTAATGAATGATCAATGGAAAATGAGAACTATAACTTTTCCAAAGTACAATAAATTTTAAATTGTCACTCTATAATACTGCTTTTAAATTTTCATTTGTGTTATGACCATTTTCTCTAAGACTAAAATAGTAGTGCTTATTATTTCAAACAAGTATTATTAGTCAATCTAATATTAACTATTATCTTTTTAAATTATTAGAGTTATGCATGAAGAATTAATTAAGCCAAATATCTGTAGATCAAGCCTTAGCCCTGGGAAAATTATAACAGTTGAGTTATAAATTTGCAAAACAGCGACTATTGAAAATATGAACATATCACAAACATGCCCAGAAAATGTTGTAATGAAACAATGGAAAGCACTACTTGTGATCTAAAGGAAGTCCCAGAATAATCTTGAATCTCATTTGCTCTTTACCATGTTTTAAAATAATAAATACCTCTCCAGGATACAGTCTTTTTTATTCAAACTCATACAATGATAAGAATTCTTTCTTTGTCTTTCTTTTGTTTCCTCTATAAAAGTCCAAATTGTCACTTTTCTTATGGCAATGAATAATTGGCTTTTAAAAATATTTTTATTATTTATTTTTATTTTATGTGCATTGAGTGTATTGCCTGCATGCAAGTATACCTCTGTCATGCAATGCTTGTGGAGGTCAGAAAAGGGCGTTGGATCACATGGAACTGAAGTCACAGATGGTTATCAGTCGCCATGTTGGGAGCCGAACCCTGGTCTTCTGCAAGAGCAGCCAGTGTTCTTAACTGCTGAGCCAGCTCCCAATGCTTGGTTTAAAAGGCTTGAAAGATAGAAAAACAAACCATTGGAAAGAATCCAAACTGAAACTGAGGGGAACAAAAAGGATAAACATGACAGTCTTAGAATTTATCCTCTGGAGAAAAGCACAGTGAGAAGATTCACAGGCCTTTTAAGTCCTGTAGTCAGACTGTGAAGCGAACTTTTCTCTGTATCTGGTTGATATGAAGTCCTACCATTCAGTATCAGTGTCTACAACAGAATAAAGACTGTTAATGACATGGTAGTGCATGATGTGTTGTGACTGATTGAAAATACTTGTTCCATAGACAATTGAACACTTTTCAAATGTTGCACTACACTACCTTCAAATATCATTAGAGCCAGAATCAGTAGACTGATCCTGTTCTTTGCATTGTTTTTTGGTTTGTGTTACTGGTTTGATAAAATTAGACCAGGTTGTCATGCTTAAACTTGGGCCAGCCTTTAGTTCTGGTCTGGTTATTTTTTTTACTTTACCATTCAGTCACAAAGAATTCTTCCTATATTCACAAAGTCCTGGCAATATTTAGAATTCAAAATTTTAGTTTTTACTAAATATTGAAAGTTTTATGTCACTCAATAAACTTATGGAAAAAGTAGATTAAAGTTTTGATGATGAAATAATAATGATAACAGCTGAATTATGTAGCTCTTAAATGGGTCAGGCATTGTTCTGAGTATTTCATACAGATGAACCCATCTAATTTTAACATAATCCTAGGGCATAGGTTCTATTATAATACCCAGATTAAAGATGTGCAAAATGAGGTGTAGAAATGTGCATGACTTGTTCAGTGTAACAGGAAGTGGACAGCCTGGGATTCAGACCACTTCAAAGAGAATCATAGTACTAGAAAGAACCATAGACTCAGGCTTTCAAAAAAATTTTTGATCTCATATGTGTTCATTTTTCTCCTACACATATATTCAGCTTTCTCTAGTCTAGAACTATTGTAAATGTCCTTTACTGTAAAACCTATACAATCGCAAAAAAAATTTTTAAAAAAACTTCCTTTAAAGGCTAGATCATCCTCAATGATATTACAGAATCATCACAAGTTTCTTTCTTTTTCTTAACTAGTAGAAGTTGAAATTTTTAAGATTCAACTTAAAACAGTGCCTCCAAACACTGAAAAAGATTCAAATGAATCTCAATTTGTTGAGACATTTAAAACACTATATATTTCAATCTTATATTAAGAAACAAGAAGGTCATTATTCCATTCAACATATTTTCTTAACTCTTATCCATATATTGCATTTTCCTTCATAAACTGTTATGCTTTCTGCTAATAATTACAGAAGTACTGATTACAACATATGGTCAAAAATAAATATAAGCCTGGTTAAGTATTCATATAAGAATATTACAGTCATGAAAAGTCATTCTTTTAAAATATAAAATATTGCACTGTAAATCTCTACAAATGATTTATATACGGTACATATAAAGTAGCAATAGACAGGGT